AGCAAACACTGCTAAGTCTGACTGTGAATCTCCTAAGATTGGTAACAAAAAAAGCTGTGATAAGAATGGGAAGAAATCGAAAGGAAACTTCAGTGGGAAAAATTCAGCAATAGATGATTTTACGGATTATCCAGGTGTGGGAAATGTACTTCATAATCTGAAGAATTTTAACATAGACGTTGAAGAGGACGTTGAGGATATGACTGAGGTAAAATTTGTCCCCTAGTAATACGTCCTCATAGTTGTTGTTCATACTAAAATACATTTCGTCGTCATGATAGCTGTCCATAATGTAGTAAAGTTTGTTTTCCAATAACAAGGATTATGGAGATAAAGTTAAGGATATGGGAGAATCCTTCACATTGGTAAGCTCAGATGAGGAAGAAGAAAATAATGAAAAGGAACATATGGATGCAAATGTCAAGTCAAAGGACAGTACCGCACTTATTATTCATGACGCATTTGCAAACCCGGAGGACCAAGAAAGTGATTAGGTGAAAACCATGGGTCGTACTATTGTTTTGTGTAATATTTTGTAAAAAATCGAGAGGGGATGACATAAGTTGTGGTATTTTTGGTATATTATAGGAGGCTAAGGAGGAAAAAACAAAGGAAGACCGTACTTGTCGATACGTGGATCCTGCTACATTCGCGAAGCCTGTAGACTTTGAAAGTGAAGAGGTAAGACAACATGATCATAGAATCTTCAATTAAGTTGTTTGTAAAATTCGCATATTTAATTCGTTTATATTTTATCTTCTAGTAAGACGTCCTCATAGTTGTTGTCCATATTAAATGCGATTCGCTGGCATGATAGCTGTCCATAATGTACTAAGTACTTGTCCACAGGTGGATCCTGCTACATTCTCGAACCCTGTACCATTTGAAAGTGAAGAGGTAAGACAGCTTCACCATACAATATTCAAATATTTAATTAAGTTGCTTGTAAAATTCCCATATATAATTATGTTCATTTTTCTTTTCTTTTAAGACGTCCTGATAGTTGTTGTCCATATTACATGCAATTTGTCTACATGATACCTGTCCATACTGTACTAAAGTTTTGTTTTCTAATAACTAGGATGATGGAAATAAAGTTGATGATACGGGGGAATCGTTGGAAGTGGAAATCTCAGATGAGAAAGAAGAAAATAATGAAAAAGAAAATACAAATGGCAATGTGAAGACAAAGGACAATAGTCCATAGGAGGACCAAGAAAGCATGGTTGGTACTAGTGTTTTGTGTAAATTTTTTTAGAAAAATGTGAGGTCATCCCGTAATTTCTAGGAATTTTTGTAAATTATAGGAGGCTAAGGAAGAAAAATCAAAGGAAGACACTAATTGTCCACATGTGGATCCTAATAACCCTATGGACGTTGAAAGTAAAGAGGTAAGAAAACATGATCATAGAATCTTCCAATATTTAATTTAAGTTGTTTGTGGTCTCTAACATTTGGATACTGGTGAAGATTCATGATTTGGTTGGTGGAAAAGAACTCCCAAACATGGAATTAGAGGATGAGGTTTTCTAACACTATGTTCTTAATGTTTTTACAGATCTTTGATCAGAATACTAAAAGATTGTGCTTCTCCGTAGGTGATGGATGAAGATGAAGTGAAGGGAGATTCAACAACCAAGGGGCGGGATGGTATAAAGGAAAGGGAAAAATCATCAGAAGGACCGGAAAAAGATAAAAAGGCAGAGGATGATGATAAGGTAATTAACTTAGTTTATGGACAAGTTTACATATCTAGTCAGTATTTTACATGATGACAATTAGTAGAAGTGACAAGTTTTATATGCTAATCAGAAAATTATAACCATTTGCAGCTAACGCAATTGAATAGCACAGCGCTGGTCCGAGAGGAGAGGCAAGGTACCTTCAAGAAACCATCAACTTCTGGTGGAGACTTAATTGCCGTACGTGAAGGACAAGAAATGGAGGACAAGGTTGTAAATATTGTAAATAAGAATATTGTTTACTTCTAACAGCAGTTTATTTTCATTTTCACTTCCTGTAGGACATGTTAAATGAGAAGAGGTCTTCAAGAACTGAGGTTAGTGAAAAATTGGTCTTAATTGACACAACATTTGAGGGTCCTATCAATTGATGTTTTTTTATAAATAATTATACTGTTATATTGGGATGCAGAATTGTGATAATGAAATAAGTGATAAAGAGAACAATGATATGGAGATTCAGGGTGGAGATAACATACCCGTGCAACAATGTGGTCAAAAGAGGGCAGTGGAGGTAGCTGAGTAGATGACTCTTTGCGACATAAGAGAACACGGCTAGCACCAAAAAGATTCGGTCACTACTCTGAAAAGAAAATTAAAGTAGAGACAGGGGCAACGTCTGCGGAAAGCGTTTTTGCGTTACTCCGAGAAAATTTCTTGGCAAAGCTAAAGAAATGCAGGAAGAAGTAAGTGTATCTATTATTGATTTCCTTATTGTAATAAATAGAAACATATATGTGAACTGACATATTATCGGATCTTGATTTTTAGAGAGTTCATTATTGATCGTCATGCTGTAAACAAGACATTTTTTACGGAACTACATTCACCAACCAAAGTTATAACAACCGGAGTAAGCAGTCATTTATGTCGTAAAGCCAAATTCTCTACCATGTTATAAATCCACCATTAATTCGTGATCTTCTTTTCATTTGCCAGCATATGGACGCGGTGCTTAGCATGATTTGGATCAAGTTAGGTGAAGATTTGTTGAGCAAAAGGATTACCATTCTTGACAGTTCGTTTGCTAGAGTCCTAAGCAAGGATTTTGGACGGTTCAGGGCACAAAAAAATAAAAAACAATGGGTATGGAGTTGTGTAATCCGAAATTATGTACGGGGCATAGTACCGGGACGTCGAAACAAGCTTGCC